ACTTCTTGCTCATGATCTGAATTTGTTGTCATTTGAAACACATATGATCCTCCATATCTGCCCCTTAGCTGCACGCAGATTAATCAAGGGGTTAACTTAATAAAGTTGCAACTAAACCATTTCCAATTTTTTTAGATGATTTGGGAAATGGCATTTAGTAGTTTAGTCTATTCTTACCTCTTTTGGGTTTCCTATGCACTGCATTCTACCATCCACGAAAATTCCTAATCGGTCACAGAGGAACTCTGCCTCTTCCATTGAATGTGCTGAAGATATAAGCAGGCATTGCTTTGTAAGTGAACTTATAAAGAGGTAAATGATCAAGCTTATTACTTATGTTATGTTATTATTTGACTAACAACACTAGAACATAAGAGAGAGAGAGAGAGAGAGAGAGAGAGAGAGAGAGAACTGGTTAGGATGATGACACGGTCTTGTTTTGCAAGCTTGATAACATTCCATAGAGTGTTTCTTGAAGCTGGATCAAGTCCAGTACTTGGCTCATCCATGTAAACAGCCTACATTGAATAAGTAACACTCAGAGAAATGCAACAAGTAGTAGCAGACTTTTCTAGCAAGTTAAACCAAGACATATAGCCAGATTAAGTAGCTTTGACAGAGATCAAGACATACTATGGGATTCCCTATCAGTGAAATTGCGACGCTAAGCCTTCTCTTCATACCTCCACTATACTGCCCTGCTTGTTTGTCAGCAACCCCGCCATGAAATAGATTCAGATTCTTCAATGATTCTTCCACTGCCTTTATCAACAAAATTGGGACAGGAAAGAGGAAAAACTAAGCTCTTATTCACTCACAAACACATATGAGAAGGGAACATGTCTGTATTGACTGATTGACAAAAGAACATGTATGAACTGACTTACATTCGTTAAGACAGAACCTTTGAGGTTCTTAAGTCTGCCATAAAACAGTAGGTGCTCCCTTCCTGTCAGGGTTTCCCATAGCAGGCTACAAGTTGTCCCGAAAGCATGAAACTAATTAGATTATAAAGATCTGAAAGAAAGAACCAACAAAAAGAGAAGGGAAAACTCTGCTTCCTAGATACATTAGGCAAGAATTATATCTATAGCTTACTCATATTGTGGACAAACTCCCATGCAGGTATATATTTCATTCATTTGAGTTACAATATCCAGGCCATTAACATATGATGTTCCAAAGGTAGGCTTTGTGAGACCAATCATCTGTGGAAAGAGTCTGTATCAGGCATTACCATATGATGTTCCGAAGAAACTGTATCAGCCAATCAAAGATTCAGAGTGTACCATTTCAATAAAAGAGGTCTTCCCTGCACCACTGGGACCAAGCATACCAAAGCATTCTCCTCTGGGCAAAGCAAGAGACAACCCTCTCACTGCAAATTTCTCAGGGTTTCCATCTCTTCCTGGATATACCTTTTTGACATTGTCACAGATGACAACATGGGTTTTATCATTTGGATCTTGGAGCAGCTTCTCAACCTTTTCTCTCTGCAAATTAACAAGTTGAAGTATTAAAATTCAGCGTATATTATATTGATCTGGCATAGCACGATGTAGATAAAAATTGAGTTACCTCATTACTAATATCAAGTTTTTCCATGTCACCAAAAGCTTTAGATCCTGTAAGTTGAAGTATTAAAATTTCAGCGTATATTATATTGATCGGGCATAGCACGATGTAGATAAAAATTGAGTTACCTCATTACTAATATCAAGTTTTTCCATGTCACCAAAAGCTTTAGATCCTTGCCTCTGCAAGGTAGGCATCCTAAGAGTTGAGGGGTTCTTGTTCCTAGAGTTTTGCAAGAAAAATAAAGGACCTTTTCCACATGTCACAACTTGATCTATGTAATATGCAAGAAGAAGCAGCACAAGCCACTCAAACCCCATGATAACCAACACATCTCTCATCCCATTGTAGCTATCGTTCAAATTTTCCCATGTCATCCCATGAGTCTCCAAGGATTTGGCTTCAATGGCGTATTGCCCCAACTCATATAGCCCGCGATATAGAGAAAAGCCGGGATAGAGCTCCAGAAAAACCAGCAAGCTTCCTACAACATACATTAATTAACGCAAAACAACTTCATTTGTAATAATCAAACACAAATATTAATCTCCACTTGTTACACTTACTAGATGCATCTTTGATAAGGTGTTCGAAAAAAAAGGCTCCAAGAAGCCCGCTTCCGAAGACAAAAATATAAGCCACAACTGTGATCATCAAATCAATCATGGAAATTAAGAATCTCAATCATCAAAGTCATCTCATAAGATAATAAAAGTAGCTAAAACTAACATCAAACCTGTAGCAGTCCTGGTGTCTGAAAACACTGAAGCTAGTAGAAAAGCAAGGGCTATTTGCAAGTTTATGTAGATGAAGTAAAACACAAACTGGATGGAGTAGTCATTTTCAATGAAATAACTTAACCCTGCATGGATGTAATTAAGTTGGTCAATTAAAGCATTAACTCAAATTAAATAAAGCTAGCCTTTACCAAAATATTATATGTACCTAGCATTGCGCCAAATCCAATAAAACACAGCATGTAGAGTGCAGATATTGTAAGAAAATACGCATACGAAATCATCCAATAAGGCCCGTCACCGAGGCCATGCATTTTCATCATGATTCTCAGTCTTTGTTCCTTCTCATAAACTATTGCAGTCAACACAACCTACACCACAATTTAGAAAAATCCGAAAGAAGATTAATTAACTTAGCAAAATAGACTTACAATTAATGTTTAATATGGGATTTTGAATTAATAACAACAATCTTACCGGGAACAGCTGTAAAACGATCCATGTAAAGAAGATTGTGCCAGCAAGAGAGGCAAAATCCATCTTGTTTACACTTCGAGACTTGGGCATTTCTTTGACAAAATCAAACATGATTTTGGTTTTAGGCCCCCTCAAAAACTGAAGGTAGGCATTTGTTGCCTGTGAATATAAAACAATCTGGACAAGTTAAAAAGAAGGCACATATGTAGATATGCATGTACATATGTATGTATGTATGTAAATACCATGTTCACGGTGCGTGGTAATCGCAACAAAGCTTTAGCACCGACGGCTTGGGTGGTCGAATTGTGCCATAAGGTCACATTATAAGTTTTTGCATCTGAGTTTGAGAAATCATAAGCTGCAAGAATGATACCCTATTCATCACATATATCAAATATTATTAATTAAAGCCAATATATAAATCAAAGTAGTAGATATAATGAACCTGAAAGTATCTCATTAATCTTCTTCTCTGAATTCCCCTTCATGTAACCCTTGTATAGCTCATTGTTTATCTCAGAAGAACTATTGCGCCACAAACACAGGGCTTGAACACACGTAACCTCTACATTCAAGACAAATACCGTTAAAGGTGAACTTAGTATGTTGCATATATGCAACGAAAGTTAAAGGTGAACCTTTGCACACAATTAAAAAAATCTGATGCCATTCATCGAGTTGCCTTTATCTTATGGTCAACACAATCAACGGCTGCGAATATCCACAATGTCCACATACATTATATACAGAGAGTATACAATACATGCATGTGTATGTATTTGTACACATATATAGAGATAGAGAGAAACCATACATTATACAAATATAGGGTTTAATTATAAAAATAAAAATAAAAGTACCTTTTTTTATTGGGGTGGTTGATACTCGAAGTGTAGCAGATGATGCAGATGATTGGGGAGGGCATTGACTCTGCAGATTAGAGATGGGAGTTGGATCCGGCGAAGTGAACGCAGGATCAAACATATAGGATGACAGAAGTGAGGACTCTGTACCCTGCATATTTTATTACAATCGAAATTATTAAATCACATTGAAAAAAAGAAGAATAAAAACCAAATGAAAGAAAAATGACGACTTACCATGACAGTTTTAGTCCAATCAGTAAGATTACCGGAGGAATTCGCCGGGAAAGACCCCGAAAACATGCTCAAAGCCAACGCTAACAAATGTGCACATATTAATGTTAGTTAGACGTTGGATAATAATACTAGAAGCACCAACTATTATCCCAGCTTTGCGTTTCCCCCGTTAATTAAATAACCAACATGTCAAAAATGTAGAGAAGAAATAATACTTTGTGCTAAAGAATGATTAGTTCCAGTCATGAGGATTGTGACAGGACATGAGCCTTTCTTCCTGCATGACTCATCGGGCAAGTCTTTGAACGACAAGAAATCACTTCTCACTGCACGAAAATCATTCTGTGGTATTTTTAACAGGGCAGGCCATTCTGGAGGCTTAGGAATTGGACATGACTCGTCGAAATGCCCAATCTCTGCTGGATCCGATCCGCATTTCGTATTGGGTTTGCTCGTGTACACATCCACAACGATTTGGAAGACAGCAAAGAGCGAGCAGAAGAAGGCTGGTATTAAAATCAGGGCTATATTGGCACACATCCTTCGTTTCTGCAAAATCATCGACAATTAAATTAATTAAATTGATATTTTGTCATAACTCAGGAGCTAAATTGAATAATTAAATTAATTAATTGGTTGCTGGAGAACCTGAAAGGTTAAGTTTTTCCTGAGCAAAGCATTGGACTGAAGCCAAAAGTTGGCAGGGCGACCAGCAACGTCCGCCATTGATGTCTGAAGCGCTTTAACTTGATACCCAAGAAACCCAAAAGCAATATGGAAGTGGTAGCATAGACTTGTAACTAAACAGGGCGTCAAAGTTGAAAACCTTCAACAGAAATTAGACCCTTTTTGTCCCCAAATGCACTTCTTTGGGAAAAAAAATAAGAAAAGAAAACAAGAGTTTTGTATGCCACTCTTTTAATTAACATTGTTCGTTAAAGCTTAAATTTAGTAAGTCCTCAGCCAATGCCTGATTTGTTGCGTTTGACTGTCTTAACCATCACAAATAAAATCCCACTCAAATCATTAATTGAAGCATGGAGCCCACTCAGTATATCAATGGCTAAATGATCAGCTTCTCTTTGATGCCTTAAAAATTTCACATCATTTTCTGATTGTCCACAACATTACATGAGGTGTATGAGTTGTACCACAAGAAGTGGTAGGTGACATGAAAAAAAAACATTTATAAACAATGGTTCCTAGCTAAGAGTTTTGGTACACATGGAAGAAATTTTTGACAAAGATAGTTCTAACAAGAACTCTGGTACAGAAACACTATGCTACGCGTTGGCTTCCTGAGCTCCGCATGCAACTTTGATGAAGACTTCCTCCAACGTAGCATCAGCTAGGTTCGATGCATAACTGGTGAACTTGCTCTTCACAATCTCTACTGTTTTGAAGATGTCTGCCATTCTGATCTCAGTTTTAGGCAGCTCAAACTTCTGGATTCCAGATACATGGTATATCTTGTTAGCACTAGGAGAGAGAGTTCGCACCAATTTCTCCACATCTTCTTCATGAATTGAAGATGTTGTTATTGTGAACACATAAGGTCCTCCATATCTACCTATCAGCTGTCACAGTACACCATTGAAGTTGTAGGTAAATTCGTGCCCAAATGAAAATCTATGTGCATTCTCACATGTAAAATCTATCATGCAGGCTAAACATGCAGCTTCTATTCCAAGAAGAAGAGAAGCAACAAAAATAATTCACTTGATAACTAAAATGATCGAGATCAATTCTAAATCTGAAACCAAAATAGAAGAGAAATACAATTAAAAGATAAAGCATTGAAGTCAATTTACCTCTTTTGGATTTCCTAAGCACTGCAGGCTGCCATCTACAAAAATACCTACTCGATCACACAAGACTTCTGCTTCCTGCATTGAATGGGCTGAAACATAAAAAAACAAGACCATTATGTAATTGACAGCATCAAGTTGAGCAATAAGAATTGAAATTAAGTGCAAGGGGCCGAGGGGCAATACACAACAGTAAGAGGAACAAGAAAGCGCAGATAATTTGTAATGCTTGTTACACCTCATTTTTGCAAGTTCAACAAGTAATGTGGGGAGAGAGAGAGTACTGGCGAGGATCATTGCCCGGTCTTGCAATGCACACTTAATGACATTCCATAAATTTTTTCTGGAAGCTGGATCTAGTCCTGTACTAGGCTCATCCATATAAACCACCTAGAAAGAATTCAAAATGTTATGCCATAAGTAGGCTGGTACCCCCATGACATATATAGTTAGCAAGAGAGATCTCACAAAGAAAGGCAGATTGGGAAAAGGTGAAGACAAACTTTGGGATCCCCAATGAGTGAAATTGCTACACTGAGCCTCATCTTCATACCCCCACTATATGTTTTAGCTTGTTTATAAGGAACTCCACCATGAAATATAAGTTGAATTGTACCATATGCTCACATTAAAATTCTCCTCATTTGAGTTTGAGAAACCATAGGCTGTGAAAAGAATATAACAGTAAGTGTTGTCTTAAAAGAAAAACTTTCCAATATCAAACCATTAATGCATTTTATGTCAAGTAGATCAACCTGCAAATATCTCATTAGTCTTCCCTTCTGAATTCCCATTTACATAACCTTTATAAAACTTACCATTTATCTTAGAAGAACTGTTGCGCCACAAAGGTAAGCCTTCAACACATAAAGCCTCTGCACTCATGCAACAAAATTAGAAAAAAAAGATCAGAAAGCAAGAGTAATGACAAGACTGACAATACATTGCAAACCCCGCATGGACCCCTTCAGTTTTTAGAGTGCACAAACAGAACAGTTCACCTAACATTTAGTTAACCCCTGCTGTTGTGTAGCAAACAAGCATTCTTACACAAAAAAGAATCAGATTCTGATATGGGAATTTTTCTGAAGGTTTCGACTTTTAACAATGAACATAAATTGTAGTATCCTAGCAGAGAATTAATATCAATTATCAAAGTTTGAGTCTTGACCAAGGAAACCTCAATGGCAGAACCAACCCAAAGAAAGAATCTACACCTTGTCGCAACTCATCAGAGGCATTCCAAACGAAAACTGAAAAATTAAAGTCTGGTGGGCAATGACGTTGTAGAGAATAGATGAAGGGATCCAAAGTAAAAGCAGGATCTTCAAAATTGGAATAGCCTGGTGAAAATTCTGTGCCCTGAACGTTATGAAATATCATATTAGCAACAAAGTTCTTTCTAGATCCTGAATAAATATAAAAGCACAAGAATAGATAAGAATACCATATGAGAATAATGTTAGTTTGTTAATAATGATGAAAATCAACGGATAATTTAGTCATAAACCTAAGAATATTCATAGTAACACCCTGCCTCTTTACTACAGCCACACTCAGCGGGTTCATCCCATATCTGGTCCGACAATCTTTGGAGGACAAGAGTCAATAAACACAGGATGATTGGAAATGAAATGAGCCAAATATTTCTCTTGATATTTCGTTTCTGAAAGAAGAAAAGAAAAACATAAAATCATGTAATGGGAAGAAGTACATACAAAGTAAAAGGAGGATGCTTTTTAATACAGTAGAAGCAATAACCAAAATTTCAAGCCATGGAGGACTCAGCCTAATCAAGCACTATCCATCAAGTATGTAAGAAAAATAAAATTAGACAATTGGGCAACAGAAATCAAATTGATTTTATTACAGTTTTAATAACTTAGAAGCAAAAATCCAAGAAAAAAACACAATTAAAGGAAAACCCACAAAGCAGAAACAGTGGAATAAATATAAAGAGCAGAGGAAAACACCAAAGACAGCTCCTTTTTCCAACAAGCAGGAACAAATCCCACAAAAGAAAAAGATGAGAGGGAGACCTGGAAAGTTAGGTTCTTCCTGAGAAGGGCGTTGGCCTGAGACCAGAAACTGACATGACAATATGATTGATCCCCCATTGATACCCAAGCAAGGACTTGCAGTAACGGTCATAAAGCTGGAAACTTTCCCGCCAAAATTGAAGCTTTGGAGCAGTTAAACTGACATCCGTTTATCAATTCCCTTCTTGGTTGACAGTTGATTGGTAAAATGAGTTTGAAAAAGTATATGCTAATCAACATTATCACATTCATATATATGACGATTTTATTAGTTGAAAAGTAGCAGGAAATGACTTTTAAATTTTTTTCAAAAAAATTAAAGAAATGAAAAGGCATTATTTGGGTATTGGCCCCTCAAAGAATTGCTCTTCAGTTGAGTGTAAGCAATTTTGGCCTTTTCTATTTAAATTTTACAAGAATGTATTTCTGACTTTTGATTGTTGGGTTTAATAAAAATCATTATTAACTGCACTCTGAAAAGCCAGCCAGAGGTGTCGGTTCATAGTTGTAGATGGCAATTGACAATTGTATCACTTGTGTTTGTAGGGGGAGATGTCACACTATTAAATTCATAAGCGCTACACGCTTCAGGTAATTGATACATTGTGAGACTCACATGCATTAACCATTCTAAGTTATCAATTTAGTAATTTACGTGTGTATAATTATAAATAGCATTTGACTATTAAAAAGATGTTTCAATTATGTTTAATATTTAAGTTAGAATCAAAAAACTAGTTAAGACACACATTTTAAATCATTATATTATTAATCATTCAATAGCTAATTGGCAAATCGGTTTTTCAGATCCTGTAGCTATAGTGATGGGCAACACCAACACTATAGCATTTTGTAACCCCAAAAAAAGAGAAAAAAAAAAAACTTCAGTTTTAAAGTTTAAGGTACGACAGTCGGCTCAAACTGTTGGGCATCAAGAAATGCTGGTAAGAGTCGAGTGACCAGTCAGGTACAGAGGCTGGCAGTTTCTATCCTTCTCCTCAAGTGATGAAAAGCTCTTTATTTTTTTGTTTTTGACCAAATGGAAAATTGAGTCTTAAATGTTATAATGTATAACAAAATTTCGAGCATAAATGAAATTATAACTTCTTTTTCAGTAGAAGAGAGATCAGAGAGAAGAATATTTAAAAGAGAAAACACGCTCGCACAAGGTATTGATATCTCCAAGGAAAATTAATTAATTTTTTTTCAAAAAATGTTAAAATAAAAAGTCACATTTGATTGTTATAGTTTGCCCTTTTAATACTTCGTCCCTATAATTTCAATTTGGACAATTTTATTTATATAGTTTTTAATTCTGAGCAATTCAAGGACACTCGTCAATTTTTAATAAATTCCTCCATTACTTATTGAACACATACCTCTCACGTGGAGGAGCATTTCGATCCAATCGTGTCATCTAAGAGAAAAACCAAGCTGGCTCTCCTTCCATTCGAAATTAGGCCTGATTTTGAGACTTACGGCTCTTAAAAATTTCTCATCTGGGGCTTGTGGCTCTATATTTCGTGCTGAGGGCCTTGGAGGTTAATGCCCTTGTACCAATATTCAGATCATCTGGGATCCAACCGGGTTTTCACCTCTAGCTTTAATCATCATCACTATGTTAACCAACAAGCTGCTCACATAATTACCAGGCGATATAAGGCCATGCAGATTATAACTAGCAAGCAGTTATAATTAATGAATAAAAACCTTCAGCGTGGCCTCTATATCTCTTGGAAATTGTGTGAGCAGCTTATAATTGTCACTTGCGATTGGACAATCCTTATTTTCCAAACGTCATGTAGCCAAGAACTGCAATGCATATGTGGTTAAGAGTGTTAAAATGCTGGTATACTTTTGAGGGGGAAAAAGAGAACTCTGTAGGGATTAAACTTAACAAACTCAATTTTGAGGCTATGAAGCTACTATGGGCTGTGCAGCTACCTTCAGCAAATTCTAGTGACATTAAGGTTTTCCTTTTTTCACTGCGTTCAGATCCAGCACTCTCACTCCTCCTGGGACGGCAGGGGTGTGCAGTCGTACAACATTAGAATTTGCTTAAGGTAGCTTCACAGCCCAATTGGCTCGAAAAGAAGCAACCAAATTTGAGGCAAAGGAAAGATTGATACTTACCACAAGGGAAAGCTAGAAAATGTGATGAAACGTGAGAGGAGGGATGCTTTGCTTTTTTGCTAATATGGAGAGGAAACTCAGAGAAAGAGAAGAGTGGTGCGCTTGAGCTTAAGCTTCTGATCTTATAAATAGACCAGAGTCCTCAAGACATGCATGTCGCATGATGCATGTTGTTTTCACCTTAAGTCAGTTAGTTGATCAAGTATCGACAGCATGAACTACCAAACTTTTCCCGCTGAACAAAAACAATGCCTAATCTAAAAAAAGAACAAAGACAAAAAAGAATTTTGGTTTCTCTTTCAATAAAAAGAGAGAGAATTGATATATACAAACTATCAAATTTCATTATTTATTTCTATATATCAGCACGTATAAAACAAATGGAAATGAATATTCCAACGTGAAACCAAATGACATACAAAATTAACATCTCAGTAGCAACGAACAAAATATGACAATCATGTCAGTACATTGGAGGCTTGGGCCCCAAGTGCGACCTTAATGAAGACATCCTCCAAGGTGGTGTCAGCTAGACCCCATGCGAAAACTGTGAACCTGTGCTTTGCATTATCAACTGCCTCAAATACGTCTGCAATTCTGACCTCCTGTTTTGGCAACTCAAACTTCTGGGTCCCAGAAAGATAGTATATCTTGTTGGCATTTGGGGAGAGTCTTCGCACCAAGTTCTCCACCTCTTCCTCATGATTCGAAGATGTTGTCATTGTAAACACATAAGATCCTCCATATCTAGCTTTCAGCTGAGATACACAATTTTAGTAACAAGTGTTATGCAGAAAGTGTCGAGAAAAACCGATATGTCCTATACAGATGTTATGGCACTAAATTAAGATACCTCTTTTGGGTTTCCTATGCACTGCAAGCTACCATCCACAAAAACTCCTAACCGATCACAGAGAACCTCTGCCTCTTCCATGGAATGTGCTGAAGATACACAAACCAGCTTTATAAGTGAATAAAGAAGCAAAAGAGGTCATCATGCCGTTGCTTAACAGTTAACACTACTCCATACTGTACTGAGCTGCCAGAGATTTTATAATTGACAAAACAGTAAATAGAGGGGAGGACGGGGGAGTACTAGTTAAGATGATTGCCCGGTCTTGTTTTGCACGCTTCACAACATTCCATAAGTTGTTTCTTGAAGCTGGATCAAGTCCAGTACTCGGTTCATCCATGTAAACAACCTAGAAGGAATTTATAGAAGAAGGCAATAAGTAGAGTAGCATCTCAGATAACATTTCTGATTTTCCAGGAAAACTATCACAGATATAGCCAAAGTAGCTTTAACAGAGCACGAAGACATACTTTGGGATCCCCTATAAGTGAAATGGCAACGCTAAGCCTTCTCTTCATACCTCCACTATACTTTCCAGCTTGTTTGTCTGCAACCCCACCATAAAATAGATTGACACTTTTCAAAGATTCTTCCACTGCCTTCAGCAACAAAATTGGGATGTGAAACAACAGAAAAAACAAAAGAGTTATTCTCAAAATAATAATCTAGAGCACACACTTTAAAGTATAACTAGACTAGTTCGGTTTATTATTTGGCGGTCACTATTTCTATATAAAATATATATTGACTTACTTGTATTAATGCAGAACCTTTGAGGTTTTTAAGTCTTCCATAAAATAGTAAATGCTCCCTTCCAGTCAGGGTTTCCCATAGCAGGCTACAGAAATGTCCAAAAAAACGAGAAATTAATCAGATTGTAATTGAAGGAACACTTTGCCTTAAGGAAAAGTTCTAGCTTACTCATGCTGTGGACAAACACCCATGCTGGTATATATTTCATCCATCTGAGTCTGAATGTCCAGACCTTGAACATAAGCAGTGCCAGAGGTTGACTTTGTGAGACCAATCATCTGTGGAAAGATAAATACACATTAACTTTTAAAAGTTTTAAAGACCAAGGAAAACACAAGAGCAAAGGAAATTCCTTGACATGCAAGAATATTGGACAGCATCCAGAGGGGTGAAGCCAACCCAAAACTATTACTCTACAGCATAGCTCTACCAGAGAAGACTGGAGATGTCAATGCAGCGGAGACAGGACGACGTGACAACAGTTATGGCTAACGGAAGCCAAGAAAAAAACATGACTGAGTTGGATAATAGGAGTAAATAAAATTATATATCTCCATTAGGCATAAAAAAAAGTCCTTGATTTATTTGAGCAAATATTTGATTGCTTGAAAACTTTCTTATAATACTTTTCCAGTTTTTTCTCAATTTATTCTTTCAAATGACTAGATATGAAATCTTAAGGAATAATGATCTCACCAGCAAACGAAAAGAAAAATGTTAGAAATTTAGTGTAAATGTAATGCAAGTTAATTAAAGTTTGAAAGAGTATACTGACCATATTGATAAAAGAGGTCTTCCCAGCACCATTAGGGCCAAGCATACCAAAACACTCTCCCCGAGACAAAGCAAGAGACAGCCCTCTCACTGCAAATTTCTCAGGGTTTCCATCTCTTCCAGAATACACCTTTTTGAGGTTGTCACAGATGACTGCATGAGTTGTATCTGAATCCAGTAGCAACTTTTCAACCTTCTCCCTCTGGAAAGGAAGTGGAAGCATTATTCATGCATATTAACTTTAGGAAAAACTCATAAAGATATGAAAGACATGCATGAAAGCAAACATCAATGACACTTATTTTTTTGGAAAAACATCAGTGACACTTATAAACATCTAGGACATGGAACAAGGGTACCAAAACTTAAGACTAATCTTGAATCATATAGCAAAAAGTTGACATTTTGTCTTTCTACCTAAATGATCTGGAAACTGATAATCTCCACATACTAAACCAGCAAAGAAAATTGAGTATATAAGTTAAAGTGCAAGAAAAAGTTACCTCCTGACCAACATCAGGTTTCTCCATCTCAATAGAAACTTTAGATCCCTGCCTTCGCAAACTACGCAACCTAAAAGATGACCGTTTCTTCTTCCTAAATCTTTGGAAGCAAAAGAAAGTACCTTTCCCGGTTCCTGATGAGACAGCTTGATCTACATAATATGCAAAAAGAAGCACCAAAAACCACTCGACAACCATGATAATAAGGACCTCTCTCATCCCATTATTGCTATCACTTAAATCTCCCCACCGCATCCCATCAGTTCCCATATAATTGCCATTAAAGGCATATTGCGCAAACTCATATAACCCACGATATAGAGAGAACCCAGGATATAGCTCCAGAACAATGATCCAACCTCCTACAACAATGCAAAACAATCTTATAATGAGCTGAGTGTTTGAGAAGTATAAGTAGAAAGAGGAGGCAAAACTTAAACAAACACTAATCACTGACAGTTGAAGTACTAAGCAGTGGACGGTTTGGTCCACTAACAGCGCATTGGTTTATATTTGAAGGTTGCCACCTCCAGAATATCAACAGAATCAGACCACAAACTCAATAGAGCATATTGTTGTATCCCTCAAGTTTACTTAATACATATCGACACTATGCTCAGAGTCATAAATAATAGTCCTACGTCATATTAAAAACACTAGTGTTATTATTTTGAGATTCATCAAGCTTGCAGATTTTTCCAGTTATTTAGAAAGATTTTACTAATGTGCCTCTCTTCGCAGAAAGTATCTCTCCAGGAATGCCAATGAATTACATTAAACAGGTAAGACACCCACTGTAGCCTTCATCTTGGTGTGACAAAGGCTTCAGAGGTATTCACTGGTAAGGCAAGGTGGAATTGGAAACCATCTCCCTGGGCACCTCAAGATCTAAGCAAGCTAACATAATATTGAGAGGAGGGAGAACTACATAACAATTTGCATAAAATGAAGTTCTGAAATGCACTCCCTTGAAACAGAACCCTGTTAAATATTAGTTTAACACTGGAAATAGTTATTGTGGAAACAAACAAGAGCACAGCAACAGATACTGAATTTTCACAAATGTTTCCACTTACTTGGGAATGATGTATCTTGGACAAAGAATTGAAAAAGAAAGCCTCCCAAAAGCCCAGTTCCAAAGACAAATATGTAACCAATAACTGTTATAATGACAAAAATGTCAGTCAACTCATCTTGTTAGATAAAAGTTGAGAGTGGCCCACTACGTTTCATATAAATACAAACAAACAACATCAAACCTGTAGAAGTCTTCACGTCTGAAAACATAGCAGCAACTAGAAAAGCCAGCGATATTTGCAAGTTTATATAGATGAAGTAAAAAATAAATTGGATGCTGTATTCATTCATTGTGAAGAATTTTAACCCTGTAATGAAGTCAGCTTCGTTAAAGCAATTGAAGTGAAGCTAGACTAAGAAAGTTGTTAAGTAGTCATATCATTACCTATAAGTGAGCCAAATATAACAAAACATAGCATGTAGATTGAAGATACTGTAAGAAAATAAGTATAGGAAATCATCCAATATGGCCCATCACCAAGCCCATGCATTTTCATCATGATTCTCAGTTTTTGTTGTTTCTCATATACCAGTGACGTCAACACAACCTACATCAGAATTGGGCAAACAGAAACTATAAGTATACACTCACTCATAGATCAACATTCTATGAATAGCATAGAGGACGAAATTGGGAAAGGAGACACATTTACATCTGTATTTAGAACTGATATGGTGAAATATTATTTCCAATTGGTTAAGGTATAGCTAGTATAAAAATCATGTGTTTGTAAATAGATGAAGAGGTTCAGTTTCATTCTCAAAGTCATATGTTGCTAAAGTTGTGGAGGCACTTGTAGTATGCAGTGTTGATTTCATGACTCAAAAATGCAGATGATGGGGAGCCAACAAAGAGGATATCACCGTATAACCTCACAGAACTCTTAACCATACTTTGAAAATAAATTATGAGAAGAAAAGAAAATGTAGTTACTTATAATTGTAAATGCAAATGACGAGATGTTGAAATCAAAAGATGCAAAATCTAATCAAATCCATGGCACCAAACTGGATTGATAGACTTGAGCAAAGCTTCATATACTTACCGGGAACAGCTGTAAAATGACCCATGTAAAGAAGAGTGTACCAAGAAGAGAAGAAAAATCCAGCCTGAGTTTGCTTTCAGCTTTGGGCATTTCTTTGACAAACTCAAACAGCATATCTGTACCAGATCCTTGTAAAAACTCAAGGTAGGCATTGGATGCCTGTGAATACAAGTGTTAGCACTTATTATCGTATTGAATTTACTGCTTCTATTAAAATCGATAGCATAAAAGAAAACTCAACAAGAAAACAAGTTATAGATGCATACCAGATTCACTAAACGCGGAAGCCGCAGCAAAGCAATAGGACCACTGCCCGTGTCATTCTTAAAGGTTGAATTGTACCATATGCTTACATTAAAAGTATTCCCATTTGAGTTAGAGAAATCATAGGCTGCAAAAAAAAATCACTGTCAGTATTGGCCTACTAGTATACTTATTTCATCAAATCAAACAAGCAAGCCAGATATATGAAGTAGATAACCTGCAAGTATTTCATTAATCTTCCTCTCTGAATTCCCCTTCTTGTAACCTTTATACAGCTCACTGTTTACCTCAGAAGAACTGTTGCGCCACAAATGCAAACCCTGAACACATCTAACCTCTAGGTTCAAGACAAAATTAAGAAAAACGTTTTAGTAGGTGGCATGCAACAAAAATTGTGTATGTGCATAAGTAACATATACCTTGTTGCATCTGAATGGATGATATGTTAATGGGAACAGAAAATGTGGAGTTTTGTGAGCATTGACTCTGCACATTATATATTGGAAGATCTGAATAGAAAGCAGGATCAAGGAAATTGGAGTATCCAGGCATTGATTCTGAACCCTGAAACATTTCATAAAAAATGACTTTAGAAGCAAAGCTAAAACAGTTAACAAGAAACTAAGGAAGCCATAATACTTGAATGAAAGAAAGAAAAAACTGATTCACAACAAAAGGAAAAAGTAGGAAAGGAACGTAGAGAGGAGACAACTTACTGAAACACTACTGGCTAAATTATCCAGGGTATCAGAAGAATTCAGAGTAAAAGAACTTCTGAACATATTCCCAGCCAAAACTATCAGAATGTACAGTAAACAGTTAGCATTAATATACTAAACTGAAAACAAAGTGAATACAATTACATCAAAGAATGATGTACATAACTCATCAGGTGAAGCAGTAACATTCAAAATTGACATACTAAAACACACATGCCAGAGAGAGAGGGTGATACCTTCTCCTAGACTTTGATTTTTCCCAGTGAACAGCAAAGTTACAGGACAGGATCCTGTCCTCTTACATGACTCATTTGGCAAGTCTGTAAATGGAACAACACTGGATATCACTGCACGATGGTTCGGAGCCGGCACTTGTAGCAATGGAGGCCATTGGGGAGGATCAGGAATGGGACAACTGTCTCCTTGATCTAGAGTTGAGTATTTAAGGGCGCAAACTTTCTCACACTTGCCATCTCCATCTGTATCAATACAGATGCAACCACACCTGTTTTCAGGCTTATCGAGTTCATGGTTGACCAAAATTTGGACGAGAACTAGCAATAAACACAGGAGAATTGGAAAGGAAACTAGCCGAATATTCTGTTTGATATTTCGTTTCTGCATAAGAGAACGTATATGTGCTATTATCATCAGATTTTATACAAAACATTATTTGCAAACTCACAAAATCACAATCACCCAACAACCCATCACTCATATACAAGAAAGACAACTTAACCCGAACCAAAAATAAATCATATGGCACAAATTAACCCATAATTTTACTAACTAAAATGAACCCAGAAGGTAAAACTGTGAGATAAAGTTGAAGGAAAAAGTAACCGCTTGATCAACAAGCAATCAAGAATCTCACGGATAAGTGCCAAAAAAGAGAGAATGAATATGAAAAAGAAAATAAACATAAGGAGAAAAGCAAAGAATACTCTTCATTCGATTTTTCTTCTTCTTTGTTTTCTGCATTCAATCTCAGTTTTCAGAAACCAAACTAAAACTACCCACAAACAATAAGAGAGAGAGAGAGAAGGACCTGGAAAGTTAAGTTCTTTCTGAGCAAAGCATCTGCCTGAGTCCAGAAGCTAGCAGGGCCATGAGACGTATCCGCCATTGAATTGCCCAACTCCAAAGCCTTAAGCAAGAAATGCGGCCGTTAATCTGAACTTCCCAAAAAAAATCAAATTTCCCACTAGAGTAAAAGTTTTCTCAGTCGTGCCACTTTTTCTGTGTGTGAAAAATTGATGGTGTTTGCTAATTTGCTCTGCGCATGGCCATGGAAAGGAAGCGGCTTTGTTATTATAAATAGTCAAAACCAAATAAATCAATTGTGCCCTTCCCCGAAACTACCATCGTACCCTTTACCGCGTTTTTTGTTCTCTTCTATTTTCTATCAATTTTTTAAAAATTGTTTTTATAAAAAACTTTTCTTCGCTACAAATATATTTATATTTTTTATTTGGAAGGACAATGATCAAAGTTTTTGTCATGGCTGTGAAATGATAAAATAAAATCAATATGGAAGTTTATGGCTCAAATGCAACACTTGGAGGCAGAAAAGTATTTATCTTGGAACTTTGGTGGGTCAACATATATTTTGGGCTTTTATAATCACTTATGATTATTCTAATTAATATATTCCCTAACCCATGTATCTTGCAACAAGGAAAAGTTGTGATTGCAACATCAATGGACAAGTTTCCAGGATATTAAGATTTGGTCAAACAATTGATATATAAAAACTACACTCTTAGTTTTAGTGAAAATTGGTGTAGCTTCTTCTTGGTTATAATCTATATTATATATGGTTAGTATGGGTATTGCATCACCAAAACTGATTATGCTTTGAATCACAATCAATTACTAGTTTTTAAACAACTTGCTTCATGGAATCAACAACATGCTATTAAATCCTTGTTGAAACCTTCAAAGACAAATCAATGAGGTAAAGATATTTGTATATTTGAAAGTGACACATTTTGAAAGATTCACCTTAACACGAAGAGGAATACTTACGTATCTCATGTTTTATCATTCTTTGTAGTTAATTTTCTCATTAAGTGATCAGTTTTCAGTTATGTCGGAAATCGACCATCAAATGGTAAATTCATAAATTCAATGGAAACCAAGGTCAAAATGGTAATTCAGAAACGCTTACGCACAAAACAATCAAGACCAACGGCTTTGTGAAGTGAGTTTTCGACTCGTGTTTTAAATTTGAGCCGTAAATAGACGTTTGCTATTTTTTGATAAGAACTCAGTGATATATAAACAAAATCCCGCGCAGTTCTCTCACTTTCGCACCATAAAATGAAATAAAATAAAATTCAAATAAATAAAAAGTAACCAAAAAAAAATCATGCAATTAGTGAGCGGATTTCCATTGCTGATCCAGCAATTCACGGCGTTGTTCAAGAAGAACCTGTTGCTCGCATGGCGGAACAAGTGGGGGACCTGCGTGCAGCTCTTCTCTTCCTTCTTCTTCATCTTCCTCATCTTCTGCATCCAGAAGGCCCTCGAGGTTCGCTCCGCCTCCTCCACCGACTACAAGAGCATCGAAGACCCTGCGGCTCTCGTTTCGCCGCCGATCCCTCCCTGCGAGGAAAAGTTCTTCATCAAACAACCCTGCTACGACTTCGTATGGAGCGGCGATGGGAGCTCTAAGATTCGGAACATCGTCACCGCTATCATGGCCAATAACCCCGGCAGGCCCATTCCGGCGACCAAGGTACGATTTTTTGTTGCATTTTGTTTGGTTACCGAGAAAATGTGGAGGGAAAAATGGATTTTTTTTGCTCTGCTTCGTTTTGCTTGTGGAAAGATCAAATTTTTCGTATTTTGGAAAGCAAAATGCAGTGTGAGAAGTCGCAATCTCAAAGATGGGGACTTTTTTCTATTTTCGCAGGTGAAATCGTTTGGAACAAGTGCCGATGTTGATGAATGGCTATCTAATAATCCAATGACTTGCCCAGGAGCTTTGCATTTTTTGGAGAGAGAGGCCACTGTAATTAGCTATGGCATACAGACTAATTCTACTGCTGTTGCAAAACGAAAGCAATATGAGGAGCGTACCTTCAAGTTTCAAATTCCGCTTCAGATTGCTGCCGAGCGTGAGATTGTTAGGTCTCTGATTGGAGGTATTGGGTTTTTCTTTCTCATTTCTGATAATTTTGTATTTCTCAAAGTCCTGTGTTCTTTGCAGAAACTTTTAGTTTCATGATAAGCACCTTGACCTTATTTAGCACTCATAAATTGTAAATTGACTTGTTTCAGTTCCAAATTTTAGCTGGGATGTTTCATTCAAGGAATTTGCACACCCTGCGCGAGAGTTGTACTCTGCAATTAAACAAGTTGGACCAACCTTTTTCCTAGCAACTGCCATGTTTGGTTTTGTGTTTCAAATGTCTTCTTTGATCGTCGAGAAAGAACTCAAGCTTCGAGAGGTAATGTAATGACTTTAAGTTAATGTATGATTCTTGCCAGTTAAATTGGTGAAATTATGGAATAGCATTGCTGTCCCATTTTCTGAATCAATTAGTTATTTGGTGTTTTACTTGTTTCGCCCAACAGGCAATGACAATGATGGGTCTTTATGATACTGCATACTGGCTCTCTTGGCTCACATGGGAGGGAATTATGACACTTCTCTCATCACTTTTCATAGTTCTCTTTGGGATGATGTTTATGTTTGATTTTTTCCTGCATAACAATATTCTGGTCTTATACCTGGTCTTCTTTCTTTTCCAACTAAATATGGTAAGACTATTTCTTGCAATTACTGGTTTCAAATTATGCTTATTTTCTCCAATTTCTTTTCTTAAGCAAATCTCTCTGTTTAATAGCCTCTAATGCATCCTCTCTAACATTTGGTGCCAGGTTGGTTTTGCCTTCATGTTGTCAGCCTTCGTAAGCAAGGCATCTTCATCCACAACTGTGGGTTTCACCATATTTATTCTTGGCTTTCTATCCCAGGCAAGTTTCCTCAGTTCATAATTTATTGATTAGGGGTTATTGGTTCAATGGTAAATATCAGAATCCATTTTGTCACTGCAGCTTGTTACAACAGCAGGATTTCCATATGGGAGTGGCTTCTCTAAAACCTCTCGATTCATCTGGTCATTATTCCCACCTAATCTTCTTGCCAAAGCTCTGAAGATACTTGCTGATGCAACAACCACTCCTCAAGATCCTGGGATTAGCTTGAGTGGAATAACAGAGTGTGGACCATATGATTTCGATTGTGTTATAACTCTTGTATGTGAACACATTGGTCCTCAATCTCAAAACTTAACAGTAGTTCATAAATGCTTCTGATTTCGCATACCTGCCATTTATTATTAATACATTCATCCAAACTTTGACAGAGTGACATTTATAAATGGCTAATGGCGACGTTCGTCATCTGGTTTGTTTTGGCTATCTACTTAGATAATATTGTCCCAAATGCATCTGGTGTCAAAAAACCAGTGTATTATTTTTTAACACCTGGGTACTGGATAGGGATAGGTGGAAACAAAGTGAAAGGTAAATAAGTCTGACATTCAGTTTGTGCTTGAGTTTCCCTTGTTGGATGGTAGACTTGATGCTTTTATCCTCTCTTTTTATAGAGGGTGACAATTATAGTTCAGCGCCACCACTGGATGGTAGCACTCCGGATGATGTAGATGTCCTTGAAGAGGAGAACGTTGTAAAACAACAAGCTAGGGATGGCGCTGTTCTTCCAAACATTGCAGTTCAGATACGTGGCCTTGTGAGGACATATCCTGGGACCAGAAAAGGTGGTTGTTGCTGCTGTGGCAAGAAAACTGCACCTTACCATGCTGTCAAGGTAAAGAACCTTTTCCAACTTTTAGTTTCCAGAGGAAGTTAAGAGATTAAAATGGCTTACCTCTCTTTTTATGTAGCACCTATTGTTTGCAGTTCATGTGGAGGAATCTTGTGAAATTATTTAATTATTTTGTTCACTTAATGCATCTTCCGTCAATTTTTACCTATTTATCTCTTGTGAATTCTATTTGTGAGATGTTCTGGTGAAGATGTTAGTCTCATTTGGGTTGATTGTTAGACTATGAGATCCTCTGGAAGAACCTCATAAATGATTGCCATCCATCACTTAGTAGCTGCTTTAGAGGAATGTCCCTCTGATTATGGATATTATCATGACTAATGATCAAGTTATTTTACCCTGTTTCTTAATTTTTCATCTGTTGTCATTATAATGCTTGAGACAAAAATGTATAACACAGAAACAGAATATACGTTTCTTGCTTTTTTTAATAAAATAATATGGTAACAAAAGATTTATTTTGAATAACTTCCAGGGTTTATGGGTGAACTTTGCCAAGGATCAGTTATTTTGTCTACTTGGACCCAATGGAGCTGGGAAAACCACGACAATCAGTTGTTTAACAGGCCTCGCTCCTGTGACTGGAGGAGATGGTAATAGTTTCATTATTTTTTAGTCCATCGATAAAAAAATTTATGGAATGAAGTCAATAGGGGATATGATAAAATTGTAAATTTCCTTGTTAACAGCATTGATTTATGGTCATTCTGCCCGAAGTTCTGTTGGTATGGCAAATATTCGAAAAATTATAGGAGTTTGTCCGCAGGTGACCTGCTCTGCCCACCCCACTCTCTACACACACACACACACACACCTGTTTGTGCATGTAGTAAACCTGAATTTTTCAAGATTTTACAAGTTACATAGTTTTCACTATGTTGCAACAGCTTATTTAAAATATTAGACTTGACTTGTTTGCATATTGTCTCTATTCATAGTTTGATATTCTTTGGAGTGCTTTGACTGGGCAAGAGCACCTCCACCTGTTCGCTACTATTAAAGGCCTACCTCAATCTTCAATAGAATCAGTATGTGCTGCACTAACTTTAATAGGGTATTTCACATGCTTTCTTGCTTTAAAATGTTTGAATGGGTGTCACAATCATTCAATTGTGTTAAGATCGAGCAAGAAGAGTGTTTAGTCTGTATGTTGAATGCTCCTGCTGGAATTTAGGTGGCTAAGAAGTCATTGGCAGAGGTGAGACTCAATGAGGCAGCCAGGATGAGAGCTGGTAGTTACAGCGGAGGAATGAAACGTCGCCTGAGTG